CTCCCGTTACCCTAAGGAGAACTATGGGGGAAAAATACTGACCCCATAGTTCTCCTTTAAGTTTAGAAGGAAAACTGAGCCAGACAATGGAATGTTACAAGAGACCCATCAATACACCCTTTCCCCTTAGACAAACCAACCTGCAGAATCTGACTGTAATTTAGTATAGAATAAAGGAAAAGGGTGTAGATCAGAGGCGCCCATTAGGTTGATCGCGATCTACTAGTCGAATGCACAGCTGACACTGGTAGATCGCGATCATAAGTCGGCTTGTTGTCCCGCCCGCAGTGTTAGTGCGGCTGAACGCTACAGGCTGGAAGGGGCAGGCTCTACACTGGACTCCACACCTCATCACTGGCTTCCCTGTCCAATCACTCGGCTGGGCGTCACTCTGGCAACCAGGAACCAGCTGAGTGGAACGCACATAGTGGAAGTGTGGGAACCACAGGGCGGAAGTGGGAGGAGAATAGTGATCGCAGAGAGGAGGTAACTGTTTAGAGCTGAGGGCGTCTTCATGTACCCCGCCTGAGATGGATTTGTATTATTATTAACTATAATGCAAATATATCAGTGTAGCTATAACATATCTGTTATCATTAGCATGATATTGTCAGGCGGAGCAGTCAGTTTACATCTAGCATTGTACTGGTTGAGAGATGGGACGAAAAGGCTGACTGCTATGGGAAACACCCCAAACCCCTCCTACCTAGACCACTCCTTTAATATGGTCCTTGTCTTGTAGGGAGAGTATGGAGTCAGTAGAAATTCAGAGGTCAGTTGACTGAAGCATAATGGATGCCTGATATTTCTTTAAAGTCTGTGTGACTGCCCTGACCAGTGAGAAGAATCTCTTCTCAGTTATTCGCACACGCCACTGCAAGCTTGATGTTTCTACACAGCCTCTGGGACTGCATGAAGTTTTCAAGTTTTGGGACTGTTACATTAGCAGGCGATGGATCAAACCAATATACGCTTTGGATCATCATTTAATGCAGAGGTGCCCATTAGACACCCGGGAGTCTTTTTTTTTCCTTGGTAGATCTCATCGAACTTGTCATTAGAAAAGTAGATCTTAACACCAAAAATTCTGGGCACCCCTGGTGTAGATTATTTTAGCACAGTTGCAATGTTTACTGGATTTCTCTAACAGTTCATAAATTCTTTACTTATTGTTTGGGATTGCTTATTACAATAAACCTGTGGTGGTCAAGAGTGTGAGCTTACACAATCTTCAGTTTGAGTTTCACAGTGGTGAGGAAGCCTTATCCGTGTCTGAGGAAAGAAATGTCTGTATCATTTCATAACAACCACTCAAATTTAAAGTTCAATTGTTTGTTTATTTTGTGCAGAGTATTGAGTGGCTACTTGGAGCCAGTTATATTTATAAATGTGTCCAGCAATGACGAGTGTCCATGTTAGGGTTCATGTCGATGGGTACTCTTGTTTCATTTGACAGGAAAAGGGTGTGTTATATAATAATAATCGCTTATTTTTACCATTTTAAATTTTAAAATGGTTTACTCCTTTTCCGTTATAGCGGTGTTTTCCTTATATGCATAACTGAGAGTTGGCCATTGGAAGAGAGAATTGTAGGCATGAAAAAAATGTCCCACTCTTTAGGCTAAAGTTAACATTGCTTGAAGGACAATGAAAACCAAAAGACTGGTGCAGAACATGGAAATATTTTTATGGTAGTTGTTAGAACTGTGTTTTCTTTTTTCTGACTGAAGTTCTCTTTGAATTATAATTATTATTGTTGCTGCATAGAAAGCTCATTCGTGTTCTTGCTGTTAGAGCTGATTCCCATGCCAGCTCCGTACAAGGGGAAAAAAAAAAGATTATTAGTTTAACGTGCAGAAGAAGCGAATGCAAAATTAAAAAGCAGATGGCAAAGAATTATTATGTCTCTTCTTAATACTGGCTGAGTAGATTATGCATAATTGTAAAAATGTCATCAAACTTTGTAAACATGAAGGCGAAGTGTGTTTGCCGGGCTGCACATCTGTTTTTGGACATTGTTAAATGGTTAGAAAAATCAATGCTGATCTGAGCTAAGCATATTAATCTGGGGGATCTAATTAACTTAACAGTTATGACTCCTGGTAGATACATGACTCATGCGTCATAAAAGGCCTGACAAGGATTTGGCAGGTGAAGCTACACCAGCGCTGGAGCCTTCGAGCTGTAAACTTTTTTTTTTTAAAGTCTGCAATTAAGGTGCATTGACGGCTCTAAGCTTCAATAATGCTAATGTTGTAGAGCTCTGTTGCATTATTCATTTGGCAAAGTTCTGCGTGTGCTTTTATGTAGTAGGGAATTTTAAACTTATATGAACTGTTGTGTTAATGAAATTAATGTTCCATTGTCCACTAGTTAAAGAGACTAGTTGGCAAAACAGTTGTTTTTATATCATTCTACTTTTGTTTTTTTACTTTTTGATTTTTAATGTTTAGCATTTCTAAAGTGTAAAAAAAAAATGTAGAAACATTGAATTTAAAAATTCAGTGTTGAAATCTAAAAAATTAATGAAATGCAGCAAAATAGACAAAATATGCCTCCTTCCCAGAGAAGATCGTGGACTTCCTCAAGGTGAAAAATCAACTGGAGTTTCTTTACATGTTGAGGAATTCTGTCCCCAAAATAGAATTTGTTCAATTATTTTCTGTTGTGATATACTGTCAAAATTTGAAAATAACACTGAACATCTGCTGTATATAGAAGAGTTAGAGTAATATTTTTCTTTTTGAAAAAAAATCTTTGGCTCCCAATATGGAATTTGAGGAAAAGAAAAGAAACAAAAAAACCTATATCCAAGGGGGTATTCATATAGGGTTACAGCAACCACAATAGACCTTCGCTGTGAATTCCTTTTCTGGTGTAGAGATAATAGTAATGTGTTTTGCAATGCTTGCATACTGGATGCAAAATGCATACAGTTGGTATAAGAAAAAAAAAAGCAGAAAGTAATCTTTAGGTTGGGTTTTACTTTTAACTGTTTTGTACGTGGCCAGCTTTAACCTTTTAGGCCCCTTTTCAGATGGGCAGTCCGATCAGGTCCGCCAATCAGTTTTTTAGGCGGACCCAATCGGATGCCCAATGTAAGTTTATGGGCAGCCTGATCTAAACGAAGGGGTGTTCGTTCACATCCGGTTGCCCCTGGCTCCAGCCAGTTCCAAAAAACAAAAGGAACAGTATTCTGTTTCACCAGACCTGATCGTGCTGGATCAGGGGTAACATGTCTACATCCAAATCCCCATAGACTGATGTGAGTTGCGGTCATTTCAGTTTTTTTCCTACATTGCAAGATGAAGGAAAAAACTGGATGGACACATGTTACAGTGGTGAGATCTGATCCATAACACTCTGATCAGGATGAGATCCGTGCATGGATTCCCTCCTAATCGGACAGTGTGAAAGGGGCCCTAAAGCTTACATTTGCAGATTGTGGATACCTAGACCTTGTCGCTTTTAATCCAATGGTGGGGAGCTAGCTTTGTACTGCAGTAGTTTAAGCTTCAAGATAGTAGACCCAATCAGATGTTGTACAGTTATCAAACTTGGCTGGGACTGGAACAAACTTATTGAGGTTCAGATTTCATTCACACCGTACTGTGAAAATTTCTTGTGGAACGAAAACGTTTTATGGAGGTTGAACAAAGCCAGAATGCATGATAATTTTACTAACGTGTATAAGACATTCTCTGGGAAGTTTGTGTTCTACTGTATGTCTTAAGTGCAGTGGTATGGGCTTTTCTATATTGCACTATAAAAACCAGTACTGATGAATGCCTCTGATAGTGTATTAAAATGTGGAGAATGAAAGTTTTTATCATACTTGTTTCCTATAAACAAATAACTTGTTTTAAATTATATTGACACCGCATGTTTAAATTTAGCTTTAGTCTGGTTAGTTTCTTCCCCTCTAAAGGACCCTGTACTGTATATATCAGAAAAGTAAAAATGGCTAATTTTTACATATATAAGAACACTAATACTGAGAGAAATACGTAGGCTTCGGTTGCTGACCTCTTCTGAGAAATGTTAACTGCTTGACTCTTATGAGTACATTTGCTTCAAAATGTTACCCGGACCCTAAAGAAATATGCAGATCAGAACAGGATTTTGGTCTTAAAATAGAAACTGACCTGTAAAAGTTTGATAAGAATACAAATAGGGGAACCGAAGGTAATATATACAAATTATACAAATATAATATAAATATAGAATAGAATACAAATGATTGAATTGAAAACAGTCATTAAACTTTTTTATGAAGGTCAACGCTAAGGTGATAATATTATATGTATAGAGCAAAGTACAAATAATTTGCAGACACATATTAAATATTTCACAGATCATTGTGTATATACAGATATGTAAAATTCATCATGTACCATTACTTTTTCTTCAGTTTGTGGCATAAATTATTAATATGAAACATTTATTTGATATGCAACAGTTTTTCTATTGATTATTGTTTTAGCCCTGATGGAATCCCATAACTCCCTGAAACATGGTGGCCTTCGCTATTGAATGTAACTAACAGAATGATTCCGGGAACACATCAGAGGATTGGCAATCTCATCCCTTCTCTTCTACTTTGTTTAAAGAGCCCACCTACTGTATATTGGAAAGCTGCACTACACATGCTGCAAACCTATATTGAACTGGAATCTTAAGGTCCAGTGCTTTTTTACCCCACTACAATAAAAGATTTTGACCTTTTTTCAGAGTTGGGAAGATATATTGCATGGTGGCAAAAAAGCACTCAAGGCAAAAACCCCAAAACATCATGGTCCGTTTGTTTTCACACAAGATTCACAGAACTTTCATCCAATATTTACACATTTTTCTCATTGGACCAATGGGAAAATTTGTGAATCCTTGGTGGACAAACTCAATTAACCCCATCATCTAGTAATTAAAATGATGTGCCTGTCAAAGGAAGTGTATGTCTCTTTGAGTTATGTGTAAGTAATGTATCATTCTTCTGTTTCCAGCCATGTGCATACTGTAAGCACCTTGGAGCTACAATCAAATGCTGTGAAGAGACATGTTCGCAGATGTACCATTACCCCTGCGCTGCTGGATCTGGCGCCTTTCAGGATCTCACGTGCTTTTCTCTGCTTTGTCCAGAGCACATCGATCAGGCTCTTGAGCGTTGTAAGTTGTTTCCCCCCCCAGGCCATCCATGGCTTCTGGTCATTAATAAAATGCTTTAGTCTCTGTCACTCAGAGCCCATTCACGACAGTGCATGCTACAAATGCTTATATGCTCGGTGTTTTTGGGCATTTTTTTTTTCCTTTTTAGCATTTAAAAAAAAAAAAAAAAAAGTTCCTGCTTTGGGTGTCTTGTACATGCAACTGCGTGTTTTCTCTAGAAACATATAATGTGGTATCTAGTGTGTTTGTGAGCTTACTTTTGTGTTGTAGTTAAGGGCATAAAAATGTGTTATAACCACCACCTCAAAATTTCTAAATAATTGAATGGTACTTTCTTCTCATTGTTTTTGAAAAACATGTCAAGAGCACATACCAGTGGGTGCGCCCTTGGCAGTTCTTGTACAACTATTGACTTGGAGGACCACTATCACACAATACAGTAAACTCCCCATTATCCGGCATTCAAGCAACCGGCGGGAGAAAAAAAAAAAATTGAGGACATATTTTATTTTTTTTGCAGGTGGCTTGATGTGCATTAAAATGTTGTCGGTTGCTTAATGTTGTCGGTTGCTTGGTGCACACTTAAAATGTTGTTATAACGACTATATTTAGTTGCTAACAAAATTCCTTGTTTACAGTTTGCTAGCGGCCGTCGGCTAGATTCCGCGGTCAGCAGCAGAATGTAAACAATGGGGAGAAATTTCCAGCCTGCTATTGGCTATTTCAAATTGCAATAGCAGGCTGGCTATTGTGCCCGCCCACTGAGTAGAGGGGCAGACCTGAGAGAGAGCTTTCTCTCTGCAGAAGCTAGCCGGCAGGTGAATGGGGCTACCTGGGGAAGTGGGTGCCGTGGGGATGGTTGCTTGAGAGTTACTATTCTCCAGCAACCAGAAACTAGAGTAATCCGGCACCTACCGTTCCCTGTATTTTTACTGTATATTGTATTTCGGCAACTGTAAGTGTTCTATATATTTTTTTTTTATTATCTTGGAGTTATATTTACCACATTTATATGCAGAACAAGCTATACAGCAAAAATTACATCATGTAGGACAAACTACAAATGCCAGTGGAACTTTCAGTGATCATCTTCTAGTCACATGGTTTAAACGTTGGAAAACAAACTTTTGACATAGCTTGGTCTGTATGCAAATGTGGAGAAAAATAGAAATAAAGCCGTGTAACATGTAGAAGAAAATAATATACTATACTATCTTTACATGTAAGAATCACATTATGTTTTTGGTGCTATTGGTCCTTCAGGAGTCAGTACAAGAATTTAAACATGAATGGACAACTTAAATCTGAATTGTTAAGCGATCTTAAACATTTTGCGAGTGGCTCTGGTGGACCCCTCAAATCTATTTGAAATTTATTTTTATTTTTTTAAATTGTGTTTATCTGTCTTTTTTTCTCTCCAGTTAAGAATGAAGCTAACTGTGCACTGTGTGACAGCTCTGGAGACCTGCTGGATCAGCTCTTTTGTACAACTTGTGGTCAGCATTACCATGGGATGTGTCTGGACATAGTGGTGACCCCTTTAAAACGTGCTGGCTGGCAGTGCCCGGACTGCAAAATCTGTCAAAACTGCAAGTAAGTCAAAAATCTTTTTTATGTCCTTTAAATGTTTTCAAACAAGAGCCAATTCATTATTTCAGTTTTATTTATTAGCTGCTACCACATCTAACACAGCCATCAGACAAATGTGGTGGCCCCCGTGTTCCACTACTGCCATATTTTTCCGCTTCAGCTCAGTGTTGATTGTCTGAAAATGCTTCATTTCAGCAGTGCATTGCTGCGTACACACCATGATGGCACAGTGCTATTTCTTGGCAAACTAGCTGACCTTAAGTGTATGTAAACCCTAAAATCATTTCTTTGATTTGATCACTATTGAAAGTGTTTTGTATATCTGTTTGATAAGTGTCAAAAAAACCTGTGGATCCTGCCAGAAATCCAGTGCTGTTCTGTGCAGTGTTATCACAGACTTCTCTTCCCAGGTTACCTCTGTGAGCTATAAAACATCTCACCCTTTTGTTATAGAGAGAACGTGAGGGGGAGAGGTTCCGTATTCTAAACAAGAAACACACCGCATAGGGTGAAAACACTGCTCCTCAATAGATAACATACCGTGAATAAGTGTGGTCACCTCAGGACAGTAAGTGTTACTGGAGGGGTCACTAGGTGAAAATAGCAGCTACCACATGAATGAATTTTTAAGCTGCAACATATTAAATATTTCTCCTTGGGTTTAGATACACTTTAGAGGATATTTCCATTTTTGCAGTCAAATTTGAGAAAACCCCTCTGTGTGTTCGTTATGTGTTCCTATTCACACAGCATACTGAAAAATAACTTGTGCCTTTTTAGATGTTTTGTTAAATCAGGCAAGATGGCTAATTCCAGGTTTTTCTAAGCCCTTTCACAGTGATCTGTCCTAATAGAAAGACTTGGGACTGAAATATGAGGATTGTGTTTATCTGATGAGCTTCATTAACATACAATGGGCAGGCCACCTCACCCCTCCCAACCCCTCCTAACATTTCAAACAAATAGAAGCAAGAAGAAATTTGAAACCTTATGCTATGTGCAGGGCTTGAAAAATTTGGCGGTGTCTCACCAGTCAGTCAAAAATTTCACCAGTCAGCATGACCGGACTATAGCCTTGCAATATATGTTAAAAAATTTTGGGGACAGATAGAGGTTTCTTTTGTGACCCCACTCAAATGCTGCTACCGAGATCAAAGGGAGTTCGTATACTGAACTCCCTTTGATCTCCTGTCACAGAGCCGTGCCGGTCCCGGCCGCATCGGGCACAGCGGATCTCGGGACCGAACACGGCAGTCACAGATGCTGATACAAGTGATCGAGCGTCTATAGAGACGCTCGATCGCTTGACTGTGTTAAGCTCCCGGCCGGCCATGTAATTACAACGACCGGCCGGGAAGCAGCTCGTCGGGCTCCACTGTCTGTTCGTCACAGACGAGTGGACGAGTGGATTTTTCGAGCCCTGGCTATGTGAATGGGAACATGCAACAAATATAAAATAGGCGTTATGACAATTTACATGTAAAAGTGGAAATACACTTTAAAGTGACATTAAACCCCCTTTTTTATTAGCTGTGTATATGGCCATTTATTATCTGTTTCTTCTAATTGCACCATTTAATTTATTTTTACCGGCTTTGATTCTGCGGCCCCCTCCCATCCTGTTTACGGGTGTCTCCCTTGCCTACCAGGTTGCATAGGATACACCCGTGCATGTGTGCTTCCTGCTGGCAACTGAGCCGAGCTGCGTGCGTCCACTGACGCACACAGTGCACGATAAGCCACACACCCCTGTGTCCGCCTCCTCACAGTAATTTGATAGGCAGGTGCAGCAGCCTATTGCTGCCCCGCCCCTAAACACGGAACGTCAGGGACACAGATTATCCAGGAGCCGGCGGCGATGATGTGGACCCTAGGTAAGTTTTATTGGGGGGGGCATGGAAAGGCAGCAGGACGTTTATTTACCTTAATGCAAAGAATTAAGGTAAAAAACGGTTAGCCTTCAGTACTACTTTAGGGTGGTATGTTCTCCTTTTAAAAATGTGTTTCTTCCAGCTGTTTTGGTTTGCGGCCACAATCATGCTGGTGGGTTAGTTTAGATTTGCAATAATATGGCTGTATATAAGTACAGGAAATAAATGATTGCTCCTTTGCTGTAGTTAAAGCCTTTATTTTAGGAACAAGACAACACCCCACTGTGACAAAACCAAGCATTCATGCCTCACTGATTTTGTATTAATGTACTTTAAGGATTGTTAATTAGCAGCTCTTGCAGACTACAAAACCTTTTTTTATGATAATGTCCCAATACTCCTGTGCTTATAATATAAAATTCTCCCTTTTAGAACTTTATTGATCTGTATGATTACATGCACTGAATGTTAGATATAATTACAAAATTCAGTCTTTCACAAGTCAGTGTACATTTTCATTTTGTTTTCTGTATTTTATTTTTTTAGGGCTGCAGCTAATGATTATTTCCATAATCAATTAGTTGCCCGATTTGTTTTTTCGATTAGTTGCATTAAAAAAAAATCTCCCTCTCTCTCCCCTCCCCAACTAATCGATAATTAGAATAATTGACAGCTATTCTCATAATCAATTTTTATCGATTAGTTGGTTGCAGCCCCATATTTTTTTTTAAAGCTAGGGTAGATTTTGGGACGATTTGAGTTTTCCTATCTAGAGCATATAATGGCAAGTGGCAGAAACTTGACACATATAACAAAAAAAGTAATTAAACCTATATATTCCATTTGAAGTGTAATTTCAGTGTCAGTTCGATATTAATTTGTAACAACCCATCATTTCAGAGCAATAATCCATAGCAGCCAATCGGATTTCAAGTTACTGTAATACGTTCTATGAAATGGGTGTCCCTATTTGTTGCATTTTGCTTTATGTCCTTTTCTCTTTCTCTCCAACTTGATTGTTCCATATTGAAACTTCTTTTGTACTGCAGGCACTCTGGAGATGACAACAAGATGCTTGTGTGTGATACCTGTGATAAAGGTTACCATACTTTTTGCTTGCAGCCAGTTATGGACTCTGTACCAACAAATGGTTGGAAGTGTAAGGTGAGTTACTTCAATTACAAGTAATCATGGGGAAGGTGGGATGATGTGGTACAGTGGTCCAGTGTTCTTATAGCTTTACGGTTTCTCTGATACCTCTTTTGTTTTTGTTAAAAATGTTTGGTCCCGTCACTGCTTGCTTATAAATATAAACTGGGTACTTGCACGTACCTGCAGTTTCCGCCTCTACCAATCTGTTCTGATTGGGCAAAGATCTGGAACTTCTGTAGCATCGAAGCTTGCTATTCTGTGTCATGCACTTTTCTTTTGACTACTGAGACACTCTATGGCAGTGATGGGTAAATAGGAATGTGTGTGAGGCAGAAGGTTGTGGGCAAGCTTCGCCACTACCAGGATTTGTTGGCCTAGAATTTCGGCCATGGTTTCTGGGACTTCCGGCTGCTGCAAATATGTGAAGGTGCTTCTAGATTTTTACAGCTGAAAAATTATATCTTGTTCTGTGCGTATCTGAAAATGATTTCTAGGTTACAAAATGTGTTCCTAAACACAACAGAAATGTCCACACCATTACCATGTAATTGACATGCTGTTTAATATATAAACTCATAAAAGACAAGCATTATCAGATGAACACCAGGGCCCTTATGTGATGGGATATGTTGCAATGCTATACTACCTTATTCAACTTTTGTCCAACCAATCCTTCAGAATGGTGATGTGGGGGGATTTTAATAAATTTTGAAAGTTGCAATCCGGGTCCATGATGTTCTGAGGTCTACCTCCTCACATGCCATGCAAGAAAACAGATTGTGGTTGTACATTAATGCCATTTGGGGAATGTAGATAAGCAATTGCTTGCTTTAATTTTGACATTTCTTTTGTAGAACTGCCGGATATGTGCAGAATGTGGTACACGGACCAGTCGTCAGTGGCACCTGAACTGTTTGATATGTGACAGTTGTTTCCTGCAGCAAATTAGCATACCTTGCCCACTTTGTGACAAGCCTCTCCAGCCAGAACTGCAGAAAGACATGCTGCATTGTCAGATGTGCAAAAGGTAACATTTACTTTGTTTTCCATCATTGTTATTGACAGCTCAGCTTAAGCTGTCCCATTTGTTCTTTTAAAGTGCGTTGTGTTTTATTCATTTTGCTGTTCTACATTGTGTTATTGCGTTGACTGTAAAACATCCGGCGTGGCTTTAGCATAACAGAAGAACCAACCGAGCTCCATGGCTTAATGCTGCATTAGATTTGTTGTGTCTAGAACTTAATTGTGCTTTGCCTGATCAGAATGACCCTGCATCCGGGTGAAGCAGAGGATACCGCATGCTGCTGAAGGCATGCTCAGGCACCACTCAAGTGTCTGTACTTCATACCTGCACCACAAAATAAAAGAACAGAAGCAAGAACATTAAATGGCACAGTAGACTTGGATGAGACTTCTCAAACCAGATTTTAATAACCCCACATGGAGGACTATTCTTTGCCCCCCTTATGGGGGTTCTTTTCTTTAAACTTTGCACATCATACCTGTCAACGGTTTTTAGTATTCTTAAGCTGACTCCGCATCTTTTAAAGACCTAGGCATTTTGTCTCTTGATCCCTGCTGAAGAGAAGATTCAGCCATGGACTTAGATACACTACTAAAGCAGAGATCACATGACTAGTGCCTAGATCTAAAGTCATGTGGCTAGCACTTATAGGATGATGGAGACATTATGTTTCAGCCTTTCTGCTATTTATTTATTTATTCATTTGGGCAAAATATTTTACTGTAGGTAAACTTTAAATGTTACTTAATGTTCTGTGGTTGATGTTGTAATGTTGTCCTGGCTTCAAGGTGGATACATCTAGAATGTGAAAAATGTGCAGATTATGCAGATGAGCAGTTCAAAGATGAGTACATCTGTCCAACGTGCAAGCAGCTAGAGCCGGAAGACGATGCAGGGGAAGACTGCATTGAGATGGAGGTTGCAGAATCAGATGCCAGTGAGTATTCTGTAGGAGATATGTTCCATGCATAATTGTATACCAAGTATGCAGTGTTTTAAAGAATGTATGAAATAGTTGTTTAACCCCTTCATGACTGAGCTAGTTTTCAGGTTCTGTTCATAAATGACTGACACATTTTTTACATTTTTGCTGTGTGATTCTTCCACAGCAGTAATATACTTTCTTACTAAATGTACCCACACATATTATATATAGTTTTTTAGAGGACAGATAGGGCTATATAATTATATCACATATGTGTACCTAACCCCTCACTTAGTTTGAATAAAATAAAAAAAATGAGGAAAAAAACTAGAAGAAAACACTTTTTTCACAAGTTTTGATTATTATTATTTTTTTTAAAATTTTTTTATATTAATTATAGTATAAAAAATATATTTATATATAATTTATATTTTCCTAATTTTGTTTTACACTTTATTTTAATTTTTTTACACTTTGTAAAAAAAATAAAAATAAAATAAAAAAACTTTTTTTTTTCTTGTCAGTTTATATCAAGCAATCACTATGACAGCTTGATAAATTAACTTTTTTATTTTATTTTTGGCTATTAGGCTGATCCAAACTTAGGAACAGCTAATAATAACCTTAGAGACTGATCCTGACTTTAGTCAGATTCAGATCTCACTAAAAGCTCTTTGATCGTGCCTAGACGATCAGAAATGATACATTTCACTCAAAAGATATACATTGTATTCTTTCAGTGAAATGTATCTAAACATCGGGCTCTCGAACTGTCAAAACAAATAGCAGAGAGGTGAGGTGAGTCACTGCTGCCTCTCTGCTATTTTGAGCTGTCAAATACGGGATCGCAAATTGCGGTCCTCTATTTGCATGTAACGGCTTCATTCTTTCATTAATGAAAGGAAGAAGCTTTTACAAAAAGCTTAATTATTTCATTAATTAATGCCTCAATACTGAGACATTAATGAATGACTGTTAAATGCTGAGAATCAGCAAATACCGGCATTACAAAGCCTGATATAACTCGTCACGTACAGTGTACGTGGCCAGTCATATAGGCACAAAGTGACAGGACGTACACTGTACGTCTCCCGTCACGAAGGGGTTAATTGCCAGCCAAAACTATTTTTTTATTTTAAGATTTTGGATAGGGTGGTGGAGAAATGAGCGGAAACCCTCCTTTGACAGCTGTTATTGTGCCAGGTTTTACCACTGAGACTTTTCCTCACCTGTTCTATGACCATTAACAATTTTATTTCTCCACTTTCTGCCCCATGACAGATAGAAAGTGATGGAAAATTTTGTTTGGTTACAGACAAGAAAATCCTGGTGGAGGATCTAACCTTTCCACACCCTACCCAAAGCCTAAACACTGAACATAAAAAATTTTCAGCTCACTAAGGCCTGGTTCACATTGTAGCGCTTTTTCTGCCCTAAAAATAACTCACAAAATATCCTTTAAAAAAAATTCTCATTAATTTCTATGGCCCTCTTAACATCTGAACGTTTTGTCGCAATAAGCAAAACGCCTGTCGCTGGAAAAAATACATGGGCTTTTTTTTGGCATATTACGGTTGATTTTGACTGAATAGGAAAGGCTTGGAAAGCGCGTTTGCTGTGTTTTTGCGTGTTTTTATGCGTGTTTGCTCATTAAGATCAGTGAGCTATTTGCTCACAAAAATGTGTTATTTTATTTATGCGCAAAATACGCTGTCGCCGCATAGGTGTGGACCCCACCTTAAGGGTGGCCATTCACTGTGCGAATTATACCTGGTTCTTGAGGAACCAGGCAAAACTCGCACAGTAGGTTCCTTTCCGTCGGCATCCCTCGATCAGCTGTTCCAACCAGCCGGAAAATCTTCGTACGAACAGAGCGGGCAGCTGATGAGCTGCCAGCTCTCTTTGGGTATTCTGACAGCGGTCGCTGTCAGAATACAATGCAAACAGCGGGGATTCATCGATCGACAGACTCTGAGAAATCTGCTCTATTTTTTTCCTTCAGCCTGCGGGTTTGTGAGACCCTCCAAAGTTGTTTTAATTTACTCTGAAATGCGCTTTAATTTGGTTTCCCTTTTTTTACCCACTCATCATAGTTAATAAGAGAAAGTGTCTGGAATATAGGTTTTCTATGCTTTAGCTTCATTCAGAAATGTTCAATATTTGCAAAGAATGAAAAGTGAATCTACTCTCAAAGCTTTTAAGTTTGTGCCTTTTATATCTTGTTAAATTTGGCAATGGCTCACAATTTTTCCTCTTCATACAGTAATTAGTTTGCCACTTTATCAGACTAACATCATTTTATTAATTCAGTTTGCACAGATGAGATTGAAGTGGATACAGGTGGAAAAATTACATTTCAAGGTGAAGCACTTAATCACAATGATATTGTTCCAGATGCAGCCGCTATGTGTCTTGATGAAGGTATGTTTTCACTTTTAATTAATAGTAATATTACTTGTTTTAATTTAACATTCAAAAATGTAATACAATTCTGAAAGGCTATAGAGGATTTTTTTAGTGGCTTAATACATGTGTGTGCTGTCCATACTCTTTTCTTTTTCTGTCTAAATAGCATTTAGTTAAAAGACCTCTAGTACAGATGTTTGTTTTATGTTTTTGTAAAACTTCGTATATCCCTCTATGACACCAGTGGTGAGCTATCCGAACCATCATTTTATATAAATTTATTTCCTTCATGGATTCACCAAAGTGCTAAATAAATAATTGTGGAATCCATCTGCAAGACAGTGACATATACACTGAGTGGCCAGATTATTATGACCACCCCATCAGTACTTCGTTGGGCCACTAGATGACTCCACGAGATGACTTTGTTGGGCCGCCTCGTGACTCCACAAGATGTTGAAAGGTGATGCGAGGAATCTGACACTGCACTGTTGCCCTTCTGTTGTCTTGTACCAGTCTTGCCACTCTCCGTTCTGCCCTAACATTGACCAGTCGCTGACGGCCACAATTCGCACGTACAGACCCAGATTTTCAGCTGACAGTCCAATCTTTTAAACACTTAACAGCTGCTATTGAACATTTACCGAATTTTGCTGTTTTGCTAATAATCGCTCCATGGCTCCGAGCGCCAACAATCACCCCGTGTTCAAAGGCTGTTAAATCGCGTTGTTTACCCATATCTTCAGAAAAAAAATCACTTCTACTGTCGTGGTAAACAACCTGCTTCCCTATTTATAATGGTCTGGCCCTCTAGCAACGTCAGCACAAAATTATAGCTAATTTGCCTACAAACGTCAGGTGGTCATATAAATCTGGCCACTCAGTGTACATTGGGGCCTTTTTTGAAATTGTGGAAGTGAAAATCTTTTACAGTGGTATGTTAACTAACATTGATTATGACGTTTAGGAACGTTCAGGTGAACAGCCATCAAGTTAGCTCCAAAAACTGGGTGGATTTTGATTTTTAACATGAAGCACATGCAGTATCAGAGTAAAAACAAATCATGGAGATTAGAAAAAAGATGACTTAAAATTAAGATCTAACTTATGGTAACTCTACCATGAACCAAGTGTAACCCAATGTAGGTGGCGTTTAGTGGTCTCTTAATTGACCAATTACAGAAGTCCTTTATACAAGAGAATGAAGTTCTTGGTAAAGTGATAGTGATTAAACCTGGTTGCCAGAAGCCACAGTGTGTACCATAGATACCCGATGTGTCTGTTCCCAGCTCTAGCTGCAGTTCAGAAAATTAAATTAGGCATGTTATTGGCTGAGTAAAACAGATGTTTTTTGTAACTTTTTGTGGGTTTTTACTTCTGAGGCTTTCTTGTGAGATTGTTATAGTATCATATGCAGAGAAACAAAACCATCATTTTGTTGCCCTTATAGATTTTGATACTTGTTTACATTGTTTATTGGTGCAGCATAAGGAGAACATACAAAAACTTAGTTTAGCACTTGACTTTATCAAGACCTGGTATTAGGAGTATTTTATTTTACATGTATCTTTATCTCTGTATTATTATAGAGACACCAGAGAATGACGTCAAACCAGACAAGGAAAGCAAGCCACCCAGTCAAGTCAATACGGACAGTATGGATGTGTCTCATTCCGACACGACATACATGCTATCCAATGATGGGACAGTTAAGGCTGAATCTGAAAAGAACATGTCACCTCAGCAACCGATATGTCTTCAAGAGCAAGAAAATCGCCCTCAACCACAGAACTCTGAAACTTCATCCGAGGATAGATGTAAATCACAAACCTTTTCACGTGTTCTTGAGGACTCTTGTAAATCGCCTTGCAAAGTCAAACTCACGGATGATGCTTATGCACAGTTAGATGAGCACTTTGACTTGAGCAGGGGCCATGATCACATTTCAACAAAGAAAGAGGATCCTCTTATTTCAGAAACCATGGATGTTCAAGACATGGAAGCCATTCCAAAGAGTGAGCCATTTACAGAAATTAGCTCACCCTTAGGGCTCAAAATTCTGAAGTCTCCTACAGGAATGGATTCCCCTGCCACCTCTGTTGACACTAGTAAGACCAGTGTGTCATCCTCACCAGCAGTATCCATCGACTTTCATTCTTCGAATGACCTGTTTCAAAGTCAAACTCCGGCACATAGTTTTAGCACAGCAAATGCCTTTTCCACCACATTTGTTTCCGTAACTCCAAAAATTGGCATGGGTAAGCCAGCTATTACCAAAAGGAAGTTTTCTCCTGGCCGGCCAAGATCCAGACAGGTATATTTTGTTTTTTTAATGGCTTATATAGAACTGTGTTTGCTAATTAAATCTATCCCACAGCATGGTCCACTAAATGATAAGACTGTAATGTGATGGTTTGTGTTATTAGTCTAATGATGCTTTATTTCTGAATTGTAAGTTTAATTTATTGAACAGCAACCTAATACTTAATCTCGAACCAACCCCTTTTATACTGTATGTATGGAGTAGTAAAAATGTATGCTTAACTTATATATAATGCTAACCTTCAAGCTCCAGGCTGGGGTTTGGCTGTGGAAAGAGTGGCTGTCTCACCTTTTGGACTTTCATATATCACGTTTGTAAAGCTGAAACTTTTGGCAGCTGAATGGGTAACGCTGAGCATTTTATAAGCAGCCCTACACAAAACATTTAGGAAGAAACATGACTCCAATTTTTAGTGAAAATTATCTGGAAAATGTAACTAAAGTCTATTTTTTCCATCGCTTTTTGTCCCAGTAACATTGGTAACCAGGAAAAAAGAGTGTGTGAATCTCCCCACTGGGGACAGACCGCAATAAAAATCTAACCTTTCACCACTCTATCCAAAAACAAAAGAAGTTACAGGGTGATTCACAATCCACAATTTTGGCCTCGATTGTTCCCTTCTTCAAACCCTTCACCCTTTAGTGACTAACCCTGTATATTTTGGCTTTAGATAAACTTGATATAATTGGCTTTTTAGAATCACACAACTGTGCTTAATCAAATGGACAATGTTTCAACCCATTAGAGGCTAATTTTGAGGTGTTGGTTAATATCTTCTCATCTCCTTGGTTCTTCAGGTGTTGCATATTTTTACATATGCAGCTTCTCATATGCAAATTTTCTTATTGAAGTGTTAGAGACGCATGAACTCCTGGAGGTCGATACTACTAGTTTTGTGCACAGGGATTTTGTAGATGGGTGTTGTCTAACACTGCTTTTTTTATGTACACGCAAAAGGCTTCATGTGACCTATTTTGGCCTCTGTGCGGCTGCATCTCAGTGTTACTCAAAGTAATGTAAAGCAGGTCAAACATGGCCTCAGAACTGTCTATTAAAGTGAATGGAAATCTACTAGTGCTGGAAAGCATCTTTCTACTTAAGCCCTGCTTGAATCTAATCTGACCACCAAACATACTATAGCCCCACCCCAGCTTTGGAAAAGCTAGTCTATAAGAAGAAATTAGAGGAGAATCTTCATACCACCAGGCACATGTTGGAGAAGTGGAAAAGGAGAATCTGTGTATGTCCGTATTTATAATCCGTAATTTATAACTAAACCAGAAAAGAAGCTCTGCCTCAGTTATGCAGTTTTAGCTTCTCCTGTTCTGTACATAGTAATCTGTGCAGTTATTTAAAATGACATAATAGAGGATGTTGGAACAAATGCGCCTCTTACGAGGATGTCCGGTCCCAGTCTGCATATTATTCACTCTCACATTGAAAGCAGAAAAGATTAAACCATAATTGGTTTCATGTAGACATTTCAGCTTCTTATCTGAAATATTATCCTACTTTTACTATTTGGATAGGAGTTGACATCTGCTATTAATTGAGATGAAATTCAATTTAATTATACAACTTGTGGTTTATCATGTCAGACAAAATTGTCATTGACAAAAGCAAAATATAACAAACTGTCCGATCAACTAAAGGACATTTGCAGTCATCCCCTCTTACCAATTGCAAAAATCCTCTTTTTTTTTAACTCTCCTTTTTCAGTTTTGCTGAATGTAATGTTTTATCACATTTTAGGAGTATGAAGTTGTCTAAGCAAACTCTTAGTTTTTCCCATTTGATCTGTGATAGAGCAAGGTGTCGGTGTTTGTCCTCTTGGATCCTATGGCTTAAAGGGAATTTATTGAGTTTTCTTGTGTGTAATAGCCTCCCAGATCTCGCTCCCCTTCTCCTAAACTTCACCTATTCTGTGTGTACAACAAACTTTTACAAAGCTTTCAGCATCTTTCAGCTTCTTTGATGCAGACTTTAAAGCACCCTTCAGCTTCAGTTTGGAGATGTTAGCGGGAACTGGGGCTTTCAATTCAAACAATCTGTTAGAAAGCTTTAGCGCTACTTGAGACTTGATTTAAAGGGGAAGTTCACCTTATAACAAAATGTGTGCTGCAAGTTCATTTGTTCACATTCTGAAGCCTGCTAACAGCTTGTTTAAGGTGATAGACAACATTCCTATTTAGATCTGTGTTTAGCATTCTCAGACGAGAGCGGAAGGTTGCTTTAACAGCATACAAGTACATGTTGAAGCCTATGTGCACAAGGCCTAATACTATGATGTTCAACAGGCAGCTTAGTCCTTAGCAAAGTTTAAAAAAGTTTAGTGACACTAAAATCAGGAGTTAACAAAATGTATCTTATTTGTGTATCACTCGGCTGTAGATCCTCAAATCATCTCTGAATTGGTGCTGACACTGTCCTTCCTTCTGGAGGGTGGCTACTTTTGTTCCCCATGGTCCCTGTGTGTGTTGTAAAGTAATCATAATCACCGCTCCAAACGCACTCCTGTGATGGACTACAATCTCATGTTTATTTTACTAATTTGTATTGAAGTTGTAGTCCATCACAGAAGGGAGCTTGGCGCGGTGTCTACTTCATAGCACACACAGGGGCCATGGGGAACAAAAGTAGCCACCCTCCAGAAGGAAGGACAGTGTCAGCACCAATTCAGAGATGATTTGAGGATTTACCGCCGAGTGATACAGAACTGAGCTATATTTTTATTAATAGTTTGGGTACTCTAATGCATTTTATGATATTTAACAGCTGAGTTTAGTGTCACTTTAAACCTACAACTCGGAGATTAAGTCAAGCCATTGAAAAATTTGAGCTATACACGCATAACACATACATGTGCACTTACATGAACGTATTGCAAGGTCAGCTGATTGTAAGGAGATTTATTGTTCTCATCTTTGGAAAACAGGACAGCAGAAGTATCATTTCCTCTATCGCTGAACTCAACCAAAAGCTAAAATATTTTTTTCAGCAAATAGCAAAGGCACTTGTGGCCATTTTATGATTGTATCCGTAGACCTTATGGAATTTTGGTTACATTTTTATCCCATTTTATGTTTTATTATATTCTGAGTTTAATGGCTTGTAGGGTTTGAAGGTTATAAAGTAGGTGGTGTACATGCTTGATTCAGTCTTTTGCGTTACTGCAAAGTTTTCTTGCAGCTCTAGGGTATTGCGGGGTCAGTATAGAAGGACAGTTTTTATAATTTACAGATTTACAAGTTGTAGTTTGAAGCTGGGCTGCTGTTTATTTACTTTGTCCAGTTGGTGGACCAGTCTGTCTGTCTTTTTTTTTTTTTTGAGGAAATCAGATTTATAGAAGGAAGTCGAGGTGAATTTGGTTCTGCCAACCATCATTTCTATGTCCTATATTAAGGTGGGACGCCGGGCAACATTGTTTTTTTTTATTATTCCTCTTGATTTGAGTCAGGAAGGTGTATTTCTTGTTCTTTGTCGCATAATGGTGATTCCTAAAATTTCCTGCCCCAGTAACTGGTTGCCAGGGACAAACCTTATAGGTTAATTTCTCCAATGGGTTACAGGTGGCAATAAAAACACATTTTGTTGGTGGAGTGGGAAAGGGTTTAGTGCCTCTGCTAGATTTTAAGTGGATTCGTATGTTCACTTGGACACCGTCTCCTCCCTTTCTGTCCTAGTCGTAGGAAAAAAGTTTTAGGATATTTCCCCAGCAAGGACACACGCAGCAGCAAAAAAGCACAAGAGGATCCAACTCTTGGTCACTCTATCCAAAATGTAAAAATACAATTCTAGCTGGAGTTCCATTTTAAATTCTATTGACCTTGTAACTGTTTGCCGAGGATAGCCCTACCACATTTTGCTTCTTTTGTTATTTATATATCTTCTGTATCTGCAGTTTCTAGTTGCTGTATGGATGAAAATAGTTGATTCTTTGAATATTGGAGCATTTAAGCTTGTCTCAGACCAGATCCTGCTTCTAATTATTCTAGGCACAACTACCTGTTACAGAGAATGCATTTTTATTCATCATTGAAAATATCCCACACAATTCCTTAGCCTGGATTTCAGCTGCCAGGAACTGTGTTGTAGTAAGCACTGCAAGCATTGCCCATAGTTGGAAATAAATACAAAAATGGCAAAATCAATAAGTATACTATTATTTTTTATTCGGAGTAAATTTACATCGATTAGCTTGTTAATGCATCATTGGATAAAGTTTGTAATTTGTGCCCCATGTTCACTTGTATGTAATTTATATAGTTTAAATGCAAGCTTTGCCTTAACCTATAGATACATTGTTTGCATTCCTGTATCACACAAACTGTATGGGAAGAATCAAGGTACTATGATGCCCAGGCCGTACTCCCTTTGCTTGCTACTGCCATTGACCCTTAAACTTAATTTGTGATTGGCTCGTCTTGGCCCAGATGTCTGCTACATCTATGCATGAGCATTGAAAGTAACGTGGACAGCCTTGCCATTCCAAGCTCCCACACCATCTTTTTGCTGTGCTTTCTTTGCTTTGTGTTATTGTATTGTCTGCTTAGCAGTGTATGAAGTTATTTTTTGCTTTTTTGTGAATTTTCCTAAAATGTTGACTTGGCAAGTCCTAGAAACCTCAAGGAAGAGATGGTGTCCTAATCCACTGTTTTAAATGTTTTTGTCTATCAAAGCTTTTCTCATCAATTTATTTGTCTTTTTTTTTTTTTTTTTAGTGTTAATTGAAACAAGGTTATATGCAGGGTTTCTATAACCTGCCTCCTCTTCAGCACATTTTGGCCAAAAACTGGAAGATGGTTCAAAGATACAGTGCTCAGAGGACAGCATAGAGAATAGTTCTTTAGGCGAGGCATATCTTGTCTTTCCACTGATGTCTGGCTGTGCAGAGAAAGCTCAGAAGAAAAGCACTGCTTGATTTTCTATTTCTTTGATGCGTCTCTGCTCTGTTTTTAGATGAATATCTGTGGGGACAGGAGATCCATTGCTATGCAGAGAACTGTTACTCCCATGCTGTTTTGATCTTAAAATGGACCGTGCATAAAAATTCAAGGTTTACTTATTTTGAAGACTGTGCCCCACCCCCATGTAGAAATTTCTGGCAAATTAAAAAGGAAAAAAAAATGCCTTTAAACTTGGCTTGTGGCGCTCGTCTAGGCGAGGATGATATCCTCCTCCTGTGGTCCTGTGATATATGAGAATTCCAAATCTCCTGAGAACACACTCTTGCACTGTACTGGAGTGACTTCTCGCAAGGTATGGGCTCCTCAGCTTTTCCAAGAAAAGAGTATGATTAACTCTCCAGCAAGTTTCTTGGAGAGAAGACGGGCTGAAAAGATATCTTTAAGGCCATGTCCTTATTCTGTCCTATTCTAAAATAATAATCCTGTTTAATTTGGCTGCTCAGTGCCATTGCTCTGCCCTCCCCAAACCCCTCTGCCCCCAGCAATCCAGCAGGTGGCAGACATTGGTTTGAAAACCGAATAGTAAAACTGGTGGTATAGTATCACAGTTATATGGGGTTTGACACTATACTACTAAGGCACTTCTGCCCCTCTCTCAGCTTTTCAGTATCACTGGAACTAGAGCCACAAGATTAGGTTTAATGCCTCATTATAATTTAGCCACTTAGATCTAATGCTACTAAGTACCCTTATATCTAACTGGATTTTACTGGTCTGGCAAGAGAACATCAGAATGGTCAGAAGCTACTTGTGTAAGCTCAAGCTGCCATTGTGTAGAATTAATTAGTCCAAAGATTTCTAATAAACAGCACTTATTAATCTGGGCTTTCTTGATTTGGATTGGGGATTTTCTTATGCCTGTATGCCCACCTGACCACGACAGCCCAAGCTATTTTGGGGGTAAGATCAGTCAGTAGGGTTGGATTTCTGCCATCAAATTTTGTGGAGGCCAGTGCTATGCATGCCTGCTAGGTGTTCCCTCTCCTACCCTGCCATAAGGTGGGGAAGGGTTCGAACCCTTGTCATGCCCTGTTAGAGAGAGTTCCCATAACTTTCTATGTTGGTAACAACTGATTCACCAGCCTTTAAATTTGGGTTAATCTCTAACAGAAACGCATACCAAAGTAAAAGGTTCTAACCCTTCACTGTTCTAGTCTAATGTTTTGGCTGGACACAGCGTACATTTTAAGTTAATAAAAAAAGAAAGCATGGTATGAGCTCTTTATCATGGCTATTTGTTTTTATGTTTCTAAATACCCCTGAAATGTGCAGTTTCCCTAATTTTAATGGTAAAGAAGAAGAGGAACAAAATGAATAAATACTGTGGCATGTATGTGGACTGTACTGGCTAATGCCAAGACGTCTTCTCTAAGGTGTTCCTTATCACCACAGGTCTCAGTCAGTGCATGTTGTACTATATTTAGGAATACTTGCAGCAGCCTTGTTGTCTACATTTGCTTGGCTTTTCTAACCTTTTATGTTGCTGGCTTTGTTATTTTTCTGTTGCTGAGTTTATACATGTATTTTTTCACCTGCCATGTCTTAGGCCTCTTGGAGTACCCATAATACAGTGAGCCCACCTTCCTGGTCAGCTGATGGCTCAGAAGGTTGGGACACTTTTAAATCCAGACAGCTTCTCGGCAATCCGTTATGGAGCATCAAAGTGGTAAATAAGTTGTATTTCTACTTGTGTGTCATTTCCCTCCTTCCTTTATCTGTGGAACTAGTGTCATCTTTCCCTGTAGACTTTAGATTTTTGCATTTTAAGTTTATTAGGTGCTTGTTTTTCCAGCTTTGGTCAAATCACCTTAAATTATCCAATGTGCAAATTGTTTTATTAATTACTCTGTGATTCTGTTCTGCTGTGGATGGTGTTGCTTTCTGTCTTTGGCATGTAACCTCCAAGTGTGTAAGTATCACAATGCCTTGTGCTTTTGCTACAATTCTATCTGGTTCATCTACTGCAGTGGTTCTCAACCTGTGGGTCGGGACCCCCTCGGGGTCGAATGATGATTTGCCAGGGGTCGCCTAGTGGCTCTCGGCCGCCGGGAGAGAGACTTTTCTCCCGGAAAGGTTTGGACCTTTCTCTGCCCCTTCTTTTTTTTTTTTTTTGAAAATCGGGGGCCGCCGTAAGTCAGAGGAAAAAAAAAACCACCATAGGAAATGCATAGCTAGATTCCTATTGGCTATTTCACTTTCAAAAAGCCAATAGCAAACTAGCTATTGCACCCGCCCTCTGATGCTGCCAATCAGCAGAGGGGGACCTGAAGTTCTCCATCAGGTCCCCTTCTAGTGATTGACAGCAGCAGAGGGCGGGTGCAATATGTATGTATTCAAGCAAAAAAACATATGTAAAACACACCTAGCTATGCATTCCATTTTCCCGGTCCGCAGCTGCAGAGATCGGGAAATGTCTCCGTGCCTGTGATTGGCACTGCGCGCTGTCAGCTTCCTGGCGGGCTCGGCACGTGGAGCTGCGAACTCGCCCGAGCACATCCCTATCAGTGACAGTACTGCGGAGTGTGTACCTCATACGTTATATAGCCACGCACTTTAAATCCAATTCTTCTAGTTCCAGCTGCAGAGCGCCGGTCCTGTCTGCCTATAGCAGTGGTTCCCAACCTGTGGGTCGCTGTGCAAGGTGAGAGTCCTCCTCAGCTCTCTCCTAGCGCAGCAGTGTTTTTTTACCTTTGGGGGTCACCACAACTTGGCAAATGTTACCAAGGGGTCCCGGCCCTAGAAAGGTTGAGAACCACTGATCTACTGAATCTGACCTTTTGTATGATAGAGGAATCATTTCGTAATTTTACTTTTTTGGGGGGGATACTAGTACTTTGGCTTTTAGGTAGCAACTTTATTTTGCGAACAAGCAGTTAGCATTTTCCATTGATGTTGCTTTTGGGTAGATGAACAAGTTTAGTGACCACTCCAGGCCAAATATTTTTTAATGTTTTGGATATGGTGAGGGAAAGTTAAGAACTATTGCTTTTTTTTCTCCCCTCTGAGAAGATTTCCCATGTCTTTCTTTTCCTGTTGCACTTTTCCTGTGGAAATAAAAAGAATGAATCTTCCCAACAGGTATACAAACTGCAGGAAAAAAAAACTGACAAAGGTTCTGACCTATCCTATATCTGACATCAGCAAATCCACTCAATTTAGGTTTAATCTTAGTTTTATATCTTCCCTTTCTGTTGCATTCAATATGGCATTTGAACTCGGTGCTGCATATTGGTAATGCAATTCCATGCAGTTCAAAATCTTGTTCATGCTCCAGTGTTGGTAGAAAAGCCTGCAGGGGCATGCCAACAATGCTGTTATTATGTAATTAATGCTTAATAGCATCAAAAATAGCTAGGTCCTCACCCTCCCTTTATACAACCTACTTGCTCAATGGCTTATATTTGTTGGCATTAGCTTGTGCACCGAGTTGTCCTGCTAATTCCATACTTTAAACACAGCCTGCCAATGCTCACTAGACCATCCCCCCTAACCCTTTATATGTGGCCACTGCCACCTTCATTTACATTAAAACATGAGAGGTCACTTAGTACAGTATCATGTGATCACTAGCTGTAGACCTATCCAAAAGGCCTGCTAAATCTTTCTGCATTGGTTTATATAAAACTTGTATAAATGTTAGTTGAGTGGAGTCTGTGGCTTGAGCACAATTACTAAACAATTTTTGATAAATGCTTTACATAACACACACGTGCAATGTTACACAGCATAGTGCAGGTTGCTTTAACCCTTTCGCTGCCAAGCCCTCCGGAACATTTTTCAAATCAGCTGGCTTTCACCATCCTTGACACATTTTGCAGACTTCCAACCGTAAGTCACACACATTTGTTCTTTCTCTTATGAATAGATGCCATTCAACACAAGTTTTCTCCAGGTAGTAGCGCTCTCTCTCTTGTTTTTTTCTGTTTATATATCGAATTTGCAGGGTCCTCTCCCTGTCAGTGAGAGCCTGCACACCATAATTTACAGCCCGTGATTTATCCAGTGACCAAGTATCAGTCGTGCGCTTATGTTTTTGTTTTTCTGCATATACTCCATACCTGGACAATCGTGTTTTTAATATGGGGTAATGTGCTAAAATATGCAGGAGATTTTCAGGGCCGCGGATTGCAGGTGGGATCGATTGGTTGGGGAAGTAGAGGGGATGAGGAGAATAGTGGGTATTGCAGTGTTTTTTTAGTTTAGTTCACACTGCTCGATTCTCGTACGATCGCAGGATTTCGCCCGATTCTCGTACGAAAATCGAGCAGTGTCTGGGCACCTTTAGTAGTGTCATGCAAGTATTCGTTACATAATTTCACTGGTATTTTTCTTGGTGCTTCGAGAGTATGGAACAGAAGGGGGGCTCTATTCAACATGTAACTTCTCTGAGGCTGTTACTGTTTAGAGAAATCCTATTGGCTTCACTGTTATTTCACAATGTCTTGCTGGTCTTAAACACCTGCAGTGCACAAAGTCTAAATAAAAATGGTACCCCCAGTGCTTTCCTTGCTCTTATGGTGAAATGTATTACTTGCTGGAACTAGGAGCAGTAATCTTTCAACAAAGGGATGGTATTGCTGTCACTTTTGTTTGGGCTCAGATTATTTTTTGGGCTTCCCGGTTTCCTGATTGGCCGAGAAGCAGGGTCGATGCTGATTGGGCTTTCTGGCCAATCAGCATGGAGCCAGCTTTTTGGGCAATCAAGAAACCGGGCAGCGGGTAATGGCACGCTGCCTGGCTTCCTGATTACCCGGCAAGCTGGCTCCATGCTGGCGGAAGTTACGGTATCGGTACTTGGTATCGGCGATTACCGAAAGATAAATATTGCATCGGTGCATCCCTAGTTAATACCAAACAATATAGAGCTTTTATTGCCTAGAAGCAACTTAGCCCTTTTTCCTTTTCAAATGTAATGTATGTGTAGTCCTTATACAAACTGTAACCAGCAACTGTATCAATCAACCATGTGCCATTAAACTTTTTTTTTAGAAGTTAATGTAAAATTATAATCTTGACCAAAACACCGACAACACCAAGCAGTGTATTGTATTTTGGTCTAGCTTGCATTTTTTTCTGTTGAATAGGACGTAACTACAGGTAGTGCAGTGAGTAAAAATGCTTTTGGGCCTGTGCAGTCATGAGCTCCAAGCATAACTGCTACCTCCCTTTATTTGCGAACTGCTCACATTCTGAATAAAATAGGGCTGTATTTTTCTCCTCTGATAAGTGTCGTCTGAGCTACAAATCTGCCTATATATTATCCCATTAAAAAAAAAAAGACTTTGCATGCTTGCTGAAGAGTGCTGTATGGTTGCTGGTACAAATGCTCCTGTAGATTTGATAGAAACCATTCTGAGACCCAGATAGCAGCAAAAACCTGATCCCTCTAATCCTTTCCCATGGTATTCAAATTGTCTGCACGTACACTTATAGTCTTGGAAACAGACTATGCCAGCAGTAATGCTAAACATCTGCATGCCAAACTTGTTTTTACCATGTCATGAAGGCTACCAGCGTAACACTAAAGAGTTGAGGGCTGCTGGATGAGCACTCAATATAAAAATATATTCACGGATCAGCTAAGTTGCTGTCATGAGGGAAGCCTGCCATGCTGATGAAATGTGGCGCAATTGCACCACAAGCGTCTCTACCTTAGGTGCATTTTTTCCTGAACGACATTGTCCGAAGATCAGAAATAGTAGAATAGCAATTGAATGAGAAGTGTTCTGGTTAAATTAGGAATGACATATATGCCAGTTTCTTTTTAATGTATATGACAACCAGGTAGCAAATAGGTGATGTGGTAACATCTGATCTTCTGTTGCCCCTGAGTACCCGTCACTCTATCCCTGAGCAGGTATGCAGGAAAGCACTTCTATGTTACATAGAAAATGAAACCTCCAACAATCCCTTAACCACAAATTTAGTCATTCTGATCCCTTATATGCCCGCACACTTTTTTTTTGGGTGATTAAAGCGGACCTTTACCCCCTTTCAGTAAAAATCATGGCAGCATGCAGTTCTAACCTCATTAGGTAAACAAATTTGTTTTTTATTTTCTTACAAATAGATATGTCTGTGAAGGTTCTCATTCATCCAGGTCATGGTCTATCTGTAAAAAATAAGTCAAGGCAACTGGACTTGCTGTATTTTTCTTGAAGACGTTTCACTGGTCATCCAACCAGCTTTCTCAATTTTGAATTGAGAAAGCTGGTTGGATGACCAGTGAAATGTCTTCAAGAAAAATACAGCAAGTCCAGTTGCCTTGACTTATTTTTGAATTTTGAATTGAGAAAGCTGGTTGGATGACCAGTGAAATGTCTTCAAGAAAAATACAACAAGTCCAGTTGCCTTGACTTATTTTTTACAGACTTACAAGTAGAGTTCGACTACTTCCTGGTCCAGTTCTGGCAAAATGATGTAATGTGCCAGAGCATTGCATCTTGGGAAGGTTACATTAGCAGAGCATTGCTGGGAAATCTCAATGTAATCTAATGAGATCTTGTGGCATTTTCCTCCCCTGAGATGTGCATGGTCACATGTCCTAGTCACATGTGCCAGAGTTTCAGCAAGTAAATGGGGAGCTAGTAACCTACCCTTAGTTAATATGCCCACTGCCAGAAGACTGGGGAAGAAAAGAGAAATAAGGTATGCAAAGAATAAAAA